CAGCCGAAGAAGCGCCACCTCCGCTAATCATGTTCCTCACCTTCGGCGTTAGTCTCAGCCTTGGGCCCTCGACCTCGAGGCACATTACCATCCCCTCGGCCTAGAGCCCTCGGCCTTGAGCGGTGAATCTTAACAAAGCCGTTGTCAAACAACGCACCCCTTGTATTCCGCTTATTTCTATGAATTTAAGTAAACTACAACACAATCCATACATCTTATCGGCCCCTTCGAGGCCAAATGCCCAGGTATGGCCGATGGTTTCTAAAGATGAGGGGCCTGCAAAAGGCCCGCGTTTTTGGAGCGGGACGCTCGCCGCGTCGCCGGCGCGCAACGCACGGCGACAGGCCTGAAAGAATGGCTGAGGTGACGAAATCCCCAAACTTGGGGGTGAAACGGCAGTCGTCGGAAACCGACCAAGCCTAGCCCGCGCCGTAAATAGACGACGGGACCCCCCAAGGTCAAGGGACGGTTCAGCGCCGGGGGACTAACAGACGAACCCCCGGACGGATCACTTGGACCCCCTTCCGGCCGAGGCGGGAAGCAACCCCCTCGGCCGAAGCCTGGAAGAAGGAACACACATCAGGAGGACTAACATACGACCTCCTGGCACAATCAAGGGACGGCCCAGCGTCGGGGGACTAACAGACGAACCCCCGGATGGATCACTTGGACCTCCTTTCGGCCGAGGCGGGGAATCAACCCCTCGGTCGATGCCTGAAAGAAGGAACATACACCCAGAGGACTCCTGGAACTATCAAGGAAAGGCCCTCAGCCTCAATTCGATTCTACATCACCAATGGCCCTCGGCCTTGGCATGATTCCACATCACCAACGGCCCTCGGCCTCAGCGTGATCCCACATCACAACGGCCCTCGGCCTCAACATCAGACGGCCCTCGGTCTCAAAATCAACAACGGCCCTCGGCCTCAACATCAGGACGGCCCTCGACCCCAGCATGATTCCACATCACAATGGCCCTCAGCTTCAACATCAGACGGCCCTCGGCCTCAACATCAACAACGGCCCTCGGCCTCAGCGTGAGGACATCACAATGGCCCTCGGCCTCAACATCAGACGGCCCTCGGCCTCAACATGACTCTATGTCATAACGATTTTGGCCTTAGCGTGATCTCACATCACCAACGGCCCTCGGCCTCAGCATGATTCCACATCACAATGGCCCTCGGCCTCAACATCAGACGGCCCTCGGCCTCAACATCAACAACGTCCCTCGACCTCAGCATCAGAACGGCCCTCGGCGTCAACATCACCAAAAGCCCTCGGCCTCAACGTGATTCAACATCAACAACAGCCCTCGGCCTCAGCGTGATCCCACATCACAACGGCCATCGGCCTCAGCATCAGAACGGCCCTCGACCTCAACATCAACAACGGCCCTCGGCCTCAGCGTGAGGACATCACAATGGTCCTCGGCCTCAACATCAGACGGCCCTCGGCCTCAACATGACTCTATGTCATAACGGTTTTGGCCGTAGCGTGATCTCACATCACCAACGGCCCTCGGCCTCAGCGTGATCCCACATCATAACGGCCCTCGGCCTCAACATCAGAACGGCCCTCGGTCTCAAAATCAACAACGGCCCTCGGCCTCAACATCACCAACGGCCCTCGGCCTCAGCATGATTCCACATCACAATGGCCCTCGGCCTCAACATCAGACGGCCCTCGGCCTCAACATCAACAACGTCCCTCGACCTCAGCATCAGAACGGCCCTCAGCCTCAACATCAACAACGGCCCTCGGCCTCAGCGTGAGGACATCACAATGGCCCTCGGCCTCAACATCAGACGGCCCTCGGCCTCAACATGACTCTATGTCATAACGGTCTTGGCCTTAGCGTGATCTCACATCACCAACGGCCCTCGGCCTCAGCGTGATTCCACATCACAACGGCCCTCGGCCTTCATCCCTCCGACATCTTTATTTGATGTCGGGGGCTATCATACAGGCCCATCGACCTTCATCCCTCCGACATTTTTATTTGATGTCGGGGGCAATCACACAGGTCCCTCGGCCTTCATCCCTCCGACATCTTTATTTGATGTCAGGGGCTATCATACAGGCCCATCGGCCTTCATCCCCCCGACATCTTTATTTGATGTTGGGGGAAATCACACAGGTCCTTCGGCCTTCATCCCTCCGGCATCTTTATTTGATGCCAGAGGCTATCATACAGGCCCATCACCCTTCATCCCTCCGACATCTTTATTTGATGTCGAGGGCCATCACACAGGCCATCGGCCTTCAGCCCTCCGGCATCTTTATTTGATGTCGGGAGCTATCATACAGGCCCCTCGGCCTTCATCCCTCCGACATCTTTAATTGATGTCGGGGGCCATCATGAAGACCCCTCGGTCTCCATCCCTCTAGCATCTGTATTTGATGCCAGGGGCTCTAACACAAGCCCACCTGGCCTTGCACCCCTCTGTCACCTTTATTTGATAACGGGGGGGGGGGGGGGGGGGGGGGGTCCTTACAAGCTCCTTAGCTTTTTCATGCAGGATCTAAGGCTGATCTTGGATATCCCCTCAGCAGACGGACACAACCGCCGCTCAACAATCAAGGCCGAAGGGTGCACTGCTTTTGCTTCATTCTGAGGGCATCCGGTGTACTCTTTTTCCCCCATTAGGATTTTTTCCCACAGGGTTTTTTCCTAATGAGGTTTTTAACGAGGCATCTCCCCATTGTGGAGCAAAAGGCGTCACCCCTCGGCGGCCCCTGCTGAAGGCATGCATCACTCTACTCCTGTTTCCCTCGAGAAACTCTCGGCAAAAGGAGTGGGGGACTCCCCTCGGCAAAACACGCAAATGTTAAAAATTTTCTATTTCTCAGCTACAGCAGGCTGAGGCAAGATCGCAATGGCAATCTACTCCCCTCGACATGATGCTTTCGGCTTACAGAATGCCTCCGGCCACATGATGCCTCCGGCCACACAATGCCTTCGGCCACATGATGCCTTCGGCCACATGATGCCTTCGGCCACATGATGCCTTCGGCCACATGATGCCTCCGGCCACATGATGCCTTCAGCCACACCAAGCCTTCAGTCAACAAATGCCCTCGGCAAAGCACACAAATGCAGATCTCTCATTACTTTACAAACTACAACAAAGAAACACATACGAGCAACACACTTACACTCCCTTCAGGAAGCTCTCAGCCCTCGACATATGGGGGAATTGAGAAAATGAGGCACCCAACAGGACAGGGAAGCCTTCGGGGAAATCACCACAGCTACTCCTTTTCCCTCAAGTACCTTTCGGCAAAAGGAGTGGGGGACTCCTGATGGAGTATATGGCCCAGGGACCCCCGGCCCACATACTTCCTCTACTACAATCAGGCCCAACAGGCCCAAACGGGCCAAGCCCAGTAAAATGGAGCTCTGAGCAGCCCACAATACGCAAAGGGGTGCCTTCGGCCCTATGGCCGAAGGCTACTAGTGACGGAATCGAGCTCAGAAACATCACAGGAGAACAAGGCTTGAAAACCCAGCCTTCGGCACCTGCAGCCCTCGGCAGGTAGGAGCCCTCGGTTAGAAGAGGCATCACAGGAGAACAAGGCTTGAAAACCAAGCCTTTGGCACCTGTAGCCCTCGGCAGGTAGGAGCCCTCGGTTAGAAGAGACATCACAGGAGAACAAGGCTTGAAAACCAAGCCTTCGGCACCTGCAGCCCTCGGCAGGTAGGAGCCCTCGGTTAGAAGAGCCTTCGGCCCAGGACCCTTCAGCCGAAGGCATCCACCTCGACAGAATATCCTCTTCACATGCGCCTGGATCACCGTACCAAGTACAAACGTCACATCCAACCACCGCATTTAATGCGGCCACATGCGAGTGCCAGTGCCACCCCGGTCGAGGTGACCCCTCGACCACCAGAAAACTGACACGTGTCCTTATCTAGCATTTATTACTACTATAAATAGCACCATTTTCCCCCATTGTAAACCACGCTTAATACACATCGAATATACACTCTCTCTTACTTATTTGCTCTGACTTCTCTCTAGTTATTCTCCGCAATAACCCCTCGGATAAGCTACCCCTCGGGTACACTATCCATCAACTAAGTTAAATGAGTATGACTCACGGATGGATCTCTTATCATCTTTTTTATATCTTTTTTTTTTTATCTTGGTATGTTTTTTTTAACCTTTTATAATTTTGTATTTTATATGTATTCTTTTTATCCTTTTTATCTTCATTTTTATCTCTATCTTATATTTATCTTTATTTTTATTATCTTTTTTTAATCTTACCTTATCCTTTTCTTTTTCTTTTCCTTTTGGCTTCGATATCATGTACTCCTTATTGATTTGTGTTAGGGGTGGACCCAGTCTGCGGTCCCGGACCGGAACCGGACCCGCTACTGTGTGGGACCGGACCAGGTTCGGTTTTTCGGTCCCGGTCTTGGACCGGGTACTCGACCGGATATTTTCGGACTCGGTCCCGGGTTTGAATTTTGGGGATCGGACCGGGCGGTTCCGATCCCAACGGTTATTTTTTAAATTTATTAAGGGGCCAGAACCGGACGGGTAGACCGAACTGGAACCGGGTCCGTTGGAACCCGATTCGGTTCCGATCTTCACATTTAATACCTAGGACCGGCCGGTTCGGGATCGGAACCGGGATCGGGTCCTGTGGATCGTTGCGCTTACCGCTACACTAAAAGCAATCGCTGATAGTGAAGCACGCTCCTCCCCCTTTATAGCACAAGCGAAGCGCCACGCGATCCGATTGCACCGGCAGGCTGGCTGTTGCTGGTACCGCATACCCGCGGCCCAACAGGTCCATCCCTTATTTGTGTTATCTGATCCTAAAATCTTTTGAAATTAAAGCTTGAATGTTTAATAAAGTTACTGGTATTAGTTTGTTTAATTAGAAATTGTGCTAAAAACAAGAGTAAAAACACGTGATTTTCCAAGACAAGTATTATGTTTCCTCTTAAATAGGAGTAATTTCTCTTGTTTCTTCCCTTGTTTCATCTAGCCAAGAAAAGTAACTTCTTCACCTTTTTAATTATCAGCCAGCTCATCCGGGGCCGGCCATAGGGGCAGTTTTCCTAAACAATCGTCTAGCCCCCAAATTTTAGGGGCCTCTAAATTTGACAAGCCTGTTAGTATTATATAGATTATAGAGTGTATGGATACTTAATCTCAAATCCAAGTTGTAAATTCAATTCCCAAGTCAATAATCGCGGAGACATGAATCGACGGGGGCTGGGTGTACTGGACAGAGCAGACATCAATCGTCAAAACTTCAAACTATTCAATTTTAGGTCTTCCCGTTCAGACGGTTCAGTACCTTCTACAATTACTCTCAATTAACACTCGGCCGATGGAAGTCCCGCAGACTTAGACACTCGATTAAGCACAGAACAGTACGCAGAGGCGTAGAAATTAACCTACGACACTCGGTCCTCCAGCTCTTCAAATCTTGAAGTCTTCTAATTCTTCTAAGCTTCGTACAGTTCTTTTTTATTTTTGCCCTTGGCTATGGCTCTTGTTCCTTACTATACGTTATCTTAGTTCTTTACTTGGTTAGTTATTACTTTATGTACTTCTCTAGTTGTTTCTTTCAACTTGTTAGTAGCTAGTCACTAGTATGTATCAAAAATTAAAAAACGTAATTAATGTATTCTTGTAATTAAAAATATCATTTTCTCAAATACTCTATGTAAAGTTTAGAAATTAATTTGATTGTAATAACTACTTTTATGATTGAATAAAATAAAACTTATAAATCTTTACATAGTTGGTTGGAATCGGTGATTTGTAAGTTTGAAATATTTGGGTAGGGATGATTTTTTATATGTACATTAAGTTGTTATTTAAAAGAGATATTACTCAAAATAGGACTAAAACAGTTTGAAAATTCCAAAATAGGTCTGTCATGTTTTTTATTCCCAAAATACGACTAATTACTGTCATGTTTTGACAGTACTAGACTTCGAACATGACAGTATTTTCTAAACATGACAGTAATTAGTCCTATTTTGGAAATAAAAAATATGACAGTCCTATTTTGGAATTTCTAAACTGTTTTAGTCCTATTTCGGGAACTTTCCCTATTTAAAATCATGTTTACATGTTTATAATTTCGGTTTGATTCCGATTTCGGTCTGGATTTGTTATTTTTATTAATATATGAAAGTTTTATTGAATGTCTTTAGTTGAGTTCGATTTTATTAGATTTATCTCCATTCCAATTCAGTTTTATTCAAATATTCTCAATTGCGATTCAGTTCGGTTTAATACTTTTTTTGAAAGACATGCTACCAAATAAAAAAAATATATTTATATGGTTCAATTTAATATGGTAAAATGGTACGATTCTGTTAAACCAAACCAATATATTGATCTCTAATTTGTACTTAAATCGTAATGAAGTGTCTATTTGAGCCTCTAGTGTCTCAAAATTTCTCTAGACGGTCCTGAGCTCATCTAACGCCATAAAATATGTTACAGTTCTGTGAAAAAAAAAGACTGAAAATGAAGCCTACCAAACCGTCTCCTATATAAGTATGAGTATCCGGTGAATTTGTTACAAGGGCATAATGCTTTTCAAGTGTCAAGCTCTCTAAAACTTGTTAAAAGAACAAATTTGAACTTTTATTGCCTGAAAAAGAAACCATAATCAAGATCACTTTTTTCTCCCATCTCAGGAGCTTAGCAGGCTGATGATGCAGACCAGCAAGACAATAACCAACACGGAGAAAATCCAGTAAACCAACATCTTCCTTCCCCCCTGCTTCATCTGTTTAGCATAGAAGAGATTATGGGTTCCACCATTGATGTAGCTTCCAGCAGTGGCAACGTTACGCTCAATATTGTCAATCTGCTCACCCTGAGCCTCAACCATGACAGCCATGTCAAGAAACACCTGATGAAGCTTATCCAAACTCCTCTGGATATCCATCACGCCCTCGTGCCTCTCTTTGCTCTCCTCTTTCATCTCCACTTTCGTCTCGAAAATCTGAACATCTTCCCTTCCCAAGACCATCTTCTCGATCACTTCTTCACTTGGAAACTCCCCGGTAGCATTATAGTACCTTCTTCTAAGGTCTTCTTTGTAACCCAGGATGATCTTTCGTCTTAAGGAAAGAAAATCATTCATTATGTCCTTTAGCTTGACTCTCAGCCCGTGGGTGGTGGAAAGTCTGATTCTGTCAGCCGTGGTCCCCTTTTGAGCACCTGAGTTTGATTGGTCGAGTGTCTGGAGTTTCGTTTTGACAGTTTTGGCCTTGCGGAGGACGGTGACCATGTTCGAGTCCATCCTGTCCCGCAAACCGCGGTAAAGTTTGGCACTATGGGTGGTTTTGGTTTCTTCGTTTAGGGATTGAAGATCAGAGAAGAGATCTTTGATCCCTTTTATGTCTGTCTTGATTTCTTCAACTTGTTGGAAGAACAGGGAGAGGCTGTATGAATCTTCATTGCTGAGGTGGCCTAATTCTATGTCCCGATCTTCGGGTTCATCGTCCATTTGGGCTTGTTTCTTCAGTTCCACGTAGTTCAAGAAAGATTTAGTCATCAGATCATTCATTTTTCCCCGACGGAGAGTTTGTTGATGATGATGAAGAATCTGCAATGTTGAAAAGCTTTGGGTTGATTAACAATAATAATATTAGTAGAAATAGTAAATTTCCAGAAACTAATAATACTTACAGATGGATGAATTCAGAAGGATATATATGGCCGTGTAAACAGTTTGTTGCCGTGATCAAATAATTATCTGGAGAGTAAAACGAGTTTATGCGATTTAAGAGAGGATTAGAAACTTTCAGTTTGAAGTATTTGAAAAACATAGCCGTTATTATGATGATTATTGCTAGTAAATATTGCGAAGTTGGTGCTTTCGGTTTCTACCTCGTTAGAACTGCTGGGAAGTGGGAACCCTCTTTACGATTAACTATTTTCCTTTGGTCAAATTTCCAAGTTCAAATTTCCTTTTTATTTAGGTGGGGTGTTTGGTTACGGGCTTATAAGCCATTTTTGATTTGATCAACTTTTAGTTGTATGTTTGGCACACAAAATTTCAAGAGCTTTTCAAAAAATAAAAGATTCTTTTTGAGATGCTATGAGGAGTAGCATCTGAGAAAAGACCATGACTTTTAGTATTAATTTGTCCTAACAGCTTGTATAACAAATAAAACTAAATCAAACAGTTGACATTTTATCATATAACTACCACATTTTCTTTTTAAGATCTTTTCGGTCATTAAAAACTAAAAGTTATTAAAAAACTCTCAAAAGTATCTTTTCAGCTAGTCGTGTCAAACATACCCTTAGCCTTTTGATCAGATAATCAGCTAATTAGAGTGTTTGTTTAAACGACTTTTACATTTGGCTTCTGATCTCAAAACAGCCAAAATATGAAAAGGCATTGATCCCAACTTTTAGGATGGTCTATTTTGTATATTCCCAGGTTGCAACTTTCTGTTTCTTATGCATGTGCTCCTAGTTGTCGCTGAACAACAACCAAGCTGCAGCCCAAGAAAAGAAAACTTCCGTGCCTATGCCTCCTATTTTTTAATTTTAGTTTTTTACTAGAAACTCCAATAATTTTTTAATTTTTTTAGGTAGGAAATAGTTCCTGGTTTTTTTAAACTTTTCGTATATTCCTTCTATTTTTATTGTAAATACACTAAAAATAAATTCAATAAAATTAGTTCCTAGTTTCTACTTTTTTGTAATATATAATAATAAAATGGAATAAGCAAGATATTTTGATTGAAATGATCTTGCTTCATGCATACACCGATGGAGTATATGGCCCAGGAACCCCCGGCCCATAGACTCCCACTACTATAGCGAAGGCCCAATAGGCCCAGGAAGCACAACAGACCCAAATCACAGCGCCCCGAGTGCCAGACAGCCCACGACGAACACTGGGGTGCCTTCGGTCCCCTGACCGAAGGCTCATAAACTTACAGTACAGCTGCTTTAAAGCACTCAAAGTGTCTGGGAGGAAGCGGCGAAAACAGTAGCCCTCGGTACCTAGAGCCCTCGGCACCTAAAGGCCTCCGGGATGAAGAGCCTTCGGTTAACCATCCACGGCCGAAGGCATCTCCTCGACAGAATCTCCCACCCACATGCGCTGGATCAACGTACCGAGTACAAACGTCACATCCAACCACCGCATTTAATGCGGCCACATGCCAGTGCCAGTGTCACCCCGTTGAGGTGACCCCTCGACCACCAGAATGATGACACGTGTCCCTATCTGGCATTTGTTGCTGCTATAAATAGCACCTCCTTTCCCCATTTGTAATCCACGCTCAATACGCTGAATACACTCAATATCAATCATTTGGTGCTCTCGTTGAGAGCCGAACAATCAAGTAAGAAACCCTCCCCTTCAGCTAAAAACACCTACCAAAATGGGAAGAACCACCCGTGTTCAGTCCAAGAACCTTGAGGACAACAACCTGGCCCTCGGTGAAGTCAACGCCCCCGGAACCTCTAACAAGGCTCCCGAGGGCGGAGTCATCACTGAGTTGGAACAGGCTGCTGTTGACCTGCGCCTTCAGCTCCAGCAAAACGCTCCCAACGCCCGCCTTGGCATCGAAACCCGAAGGAAGGACCAGAGCGAAAATCAAGTGAGCCCTCCGGTTCTCACTATCGACGTACAGTTGGCATTCTCTGCCTTCATCCAAACACTCACTCAAAACCCAGGTGCCTTCGACACTCTGCTACCCCTTCAGTCGCAGGTCGGGGAGAACGCCGTTCCGCCCCCCTTCGTGAACCCTATCCTTCGGCTGGGGAACAACGAGGGGGTCATGGCCCAAGATACCGCGTCCCAGGAGGTCCAATCCCGGGACCAACGCGGTGCGAATAAGGAGAAGCCTCGAACCTCCGCCCTCGAGAGGCTCGGAGGGGTGCAAGACCGTCGAGGGGTCCAAGACCGCCTCGGAGGAAAGGCGCTCCAAAAGCCTCAGGAAAGCGGGGGTTCCGTCTCGAGGACAGACGAGAGGCGTCCTCTTCCAAACAAAGGCAAGGCACCACTCCATGCCGATGACGCAAGACATCAAATCAATCAGGCCCACTCGGCCCGTGTTCGTTCGCAGGGGGCAGAGGCCCTCCCGAAGGATCCCAGGGACGAGATCATTGCGGCCCTCCAGCGCCGGCTTGATGAGATGGAGGCCCATCGAGCACATACCGCCGACACCACCCCTCATACAGATTCGAAATATGAGGCCATGATGGCCAAAATGGAGGAGATGCAAAAGAGAATAGCCGAGGACTCCGGAGAACCCGTCATCCAACTCCAGACTAGGACGCCATTTACCCCAAGGGTATTGGCGGCCCGAATTCTGGAAAAATACTGGGGGAAACCCATCAGGCCCTATGAGGGAAAAACAGACCCCAGGAGCATTACAGCCGGTACCAAAACAGTATGATGATGGTGGGGGCATCGAACGAATATTTGTGCCGTTGGTTCCTTTCCACCTTAGAGGGACCAGCGTACGAATGGTTCAACCGATTGCCCGAAGCTTGCATCGATTCATGGCAAGAACTCGCCCAACGCTTCTTGACGCAGTTTGCATGGAGGCACCAGTCAAGGAAACACTTCTCCCACTTACTAACGGTAAGACAAAGGAAGGAGGAGACCCTTCGGGGCTTCTTGGAACGCTGGAGGACGGAGGCGAATAAAGTTGATGGCGCTGACGATGGGACCCTCCTGCCCTCCTTCAAACAGTCCTTCACCCCCGGGAACTATTCAAGGAGCCTTATCATCGAACCTCCCCGCGATTACATAAGGGCCCTACAGCGGAGGGACCGGTACGCCGAGGCTGAGGAGGTGGAAAAATGCCATCACAACCCTGATCAGCAACTCCCTCAGCCAGATGACAAAGGCAACAGGGGGCTTCCCCAAATCAATCCAAGGTTTCGGCACCCCCCAGTAATCGCCCCTGGCATGGCCTAGCCAAGCCCGGGGGAGGTTACAAGGGAAACCCGAAGGTTTGGGCCCAGCCCATTCTCTTGGAGCACCCTCGGACTCCCTTGACACACCCTGTCAGTGTCATCCTAGACTTTGCCGAGGAGAGGGGCCTTGTGGAGCGCGACTCTCGCGCACCCCTTGAGGTATACGCCATCAACCCCAATTATCCTTACTGTCGATTCCATCGCAACCAAGGGCACAACACCGACGACTGCCTTCAGCGGAAGACGGCCATTGAAAGGTTGATACAGGCAGGCCACCTGTCCCAATTCATCAGAGGCCCTCCGCCTCAGGGGACCCCTCACTACCAGAGGCCCCCTAAGAAAGCAAACGCTTGGGTCAACCCAAACACCACCCCCCTCGGCGACCCGAAGGGGAAGAAAAGAGATATTGGAAACCTCGATGAGGAGGAGGAGTACAACCAGTACGAGGAGAAGAAGCGCCACATCCATATGATCACTGGAGGTAACACAGGGGGGACCCCATCAGCCAGCGGAAGAAGTGGACTCAATCGCTATACGTGGGGGAAGTCACTCATATGCCCCCGGTAAAGCGACTAAGGGAGGACCCCATCACATTCACAAACGCCGATCTCCCCCTGCTTCCTCTCCTCACAGTGATGCTTTGGTGATCCAAAGCGAAATAAAAAACACCATCATTCATCGAACTTACATTGACACGGGCAGCTCCGTCAATGTAATGTACCTCAGCACATTCAGAGAGCTGCATCTGGAGAGGGGGTCCCTTCGGCCCATAAAGACCCCTCTTGCCGGCTTCACCGGAGTCACCATTGACTCTGAGGGGGTCATAACCCTCTCGGTACTATTCGGCGATGGGCTCCATAGAGCCAAGCTCGAAGTGGAGTTCGTCGTCGTCAACATCAACTGCGTCCACAACATCATCCTCGGCAGACCAGCTTTCGAGGACCTCGAAGCCATCATCTCTATGAGGCATATGTGCCTCAAGTTCCCCACCGAAGGAGGCATCGGATACTCAAGGGGGAATCAAAAACTTGCCCGCGCTTGCTACCTTCAAGTGACGAAGAAGGTTAGTAAGACCGAGTTCCGTGTTGACACCATCGCCAGAACCGTGGGGGAAGAAGAGAAGAGGCCGAGGGCTGAGCCCGCCGAGGAAGTAGAAGACTTCGCACTCGATCCGGCCAAGCCGGAGAGAGTCGTGAGGATTGGAGTCAAGCTCCCCGAAGATCTCAATATCGGCATAACTGAAGCCCTCTGCGCCTACTCCATAGTTTTTGCATGGGGGCCGGAGGACATGCCCGGAATCAGCCGAAGGGTCATCACCCACCGCCTCTCGGTGGACCCTTCGGCAAGACCTGTACAACAGCGAAGAAGGCCCCTCTCGGCTGAGAGGAGGGAACTTGTGAAGAAGGAGGTTGCCATGCTCCTCTCCATCAAACACATCAAGGAGGTGAAATACCCCTCGTGGCTGGCGAACGTAGTCCTCGCACAGAAGCCACACACCTTCCGCATGTGCGTGGACTACACAGATCTCAACAAGGCGTGCCCTATGGACCCTTTCCCTCTGCCGAACATCGATCAACTCGTGGATGAGACCGTGGGGTGCGAAATCATGTAGTTCCTCGACGCATTCCGCGGATATCACTAGATTTTTATGCATGAGGTGGACGCCGAAAAAACAGCCTTCATGACTCCCGAGGGCATATTCTGCTATCTTGTCATGGCCTTCGGCCTGAAGAACTCAGGCGCCACTTACACCCGGATGGTGGCCAAAGTCTTTCAGGCCGTCCTAGGGCGCACCATGGAGGCCTATGTTGACGACATGATCGTCAAAAGCAAACAATCATCAAGCCATGCTGATTACCTCCGGGAGATCTTCGCCATCATGCAAAAGTTCAACCTTCGGCTAAACCCGAAGAAATGCACCTTCGGCGTGCAAGGAGGCAAATTCTTGGGCTACATGGTGAGTCGAAGGGGTATTGAGGCCAACCCCGAGAAAATCCAGGCCATCATCAACATGGAGCCCCCACGCAACGTGAAGGAGGTCCAACGGTTGACGGGCCACATAGCAGCCCTCAACCGCTTCCTATCCAAATCGGCGGAGAAGTCCTTGCCCTTCTTCCAGATCATGAGGAAGACCGTCGGCTTCCAATGGACCTCAGAATGCCAGGAGGCCTTCAACGAGCTGAAACAGTATTTATCTTCACCCCCTGTGCTCTCCTAACCCAAGGTGGGGGAAACCCTATACCTTTACCTTGGAGTCAGCCCGGCTGCCATCAGCTCAGTGCTCATCCGGGAGGAAAATGACGTCCAACATGCAATCTTCTATGTTAGCAAGACCCTCAGGGAGGCCGAACTCAGGTACTCCCCCGCGGAGAAGACAGTTCTAACCATAGTTTCGACTGTGAAGAAACTTGGCCACTACTTTCAGGCCCATCCGGTCCAGGTCCTCACTCACCAACCCCTCGACGCCTTGATGAGGAGCCCCACCAGCTCCTCCCGAATGGTAAAATGGGCCATCTTCCTCAGCCAATACAACATTGACATC